AAGCTGAAGTAGATTCCGGATCAACATGAAATCCTTGATCCTAGCCTCTTGATCTACAAGTTTCGTTCATAAAAATCACTTCCCAAAGCTCCAAAACACTCTCCAAGCTCACACTCATGGAAATTAGGGTTTCTAGCTCTCAAGTAGTGATAGAGGACAGCGGGAGGCGCTAATGGTCCAATATATAGGGTGAAAAAACGCTGAAGTTTAGGGTTTCCACTACCAGCTCCTACTCATCGAGTCCCTAAGCCGACTCACCGAGTCACTCATTAAATGATGCATCATGACCCGCTGCTACTCTACGAGTCACAGCGTCAACTCGTCGTGTAGAACTTAAAACATGAAATTTAAATTGAATAATAATGATAGATGATAGTTGGGATGTTATAACTCTCCCCCACTTAACTTAGACTTCGTCCTCGAAGTCTGCTGCAGTGAATAACTCCGGGTGATGACATAATATAGCGGGGACCCAACTTCTGCTTTTTCTGAAGCGAATCACGCCCTTCCAGAGTGAGACCTTCAAGAGTACCATTTCATCAACCTGAAACTCCAAATCTGATCGGCGTTTATCAGCGTAACTCTTTTGTCGACTTTGGCGGTCTGAAGTCGCTGGCTGATCTGCTGAATCTTATCGGTAGTCTGCAAAACTACCTCCATCCGGCGACTCACTCTGTGTCCAACCTCTCCCAAACTCACCGGGGTACTACATTTCCGACCATAATATAGCTCAAAAGGTGGGGCACCATTACTTGAATGATAGGTGTTATTGTAAGCAAAATCTGCAAGAGGCAAATGGGAATCCCAAATCCCTCCGAAGTCAATAGCACGCGCCCTCAACATATCCTCGAGAGTCTGAATGGTGCGCTTGCTTTGACCGTCAATCTGAGGATGAAATCCTGTACTAAAGTGAAGCCGCGTACCCAGTTCCTCATGAAACATCTGCTAGAAACGGGTGGTAAACCTGACATCCCGGTTGAAAACGATGGAGACCGGAACTCCATTGCGAGAGACAATTTCGCAGACATATACATCGACCAATTTCTCAGCCGACGAACTCTCCCGAATAGCCAAGAAATGGGTACTCTTGGTCAATCGATCCACGATGACCCATATAACATCGAGCCCCTTCATCGTCCTTGGCAGCTTCGTAATGAAGTCCATCATGATTTTCTCCCATTTCCATATGGGAATTTCTAGAGGATGTAGCGTACCATATGAATTCTGATGCTCGGCCTTGACCATCCTACAGTTCAAGCACCTCTCGACATACCAATTGATTTCTCGCTTCATACATGGCCACCAATAACTCAAACTCAGATCACGATACATCTTGGTGGCCCCCGAGTGTATAGAGAAGTGAGACTTATGAGCCTCCTCCATTACTGTTTTCCTGACCCCACTAGTCACCGGAACCCAAACCCGACCGTATCAGGTCAATAATCCACGACTATCCTGAACAAACTGGGCGCTCTCGTCCTTGACCCTTTCCAACTTCCAGTTCTCTGGATGCATGCCCTCAACCTGGGCAACTCTAATCAAGCTCACAAGCGGGGAATCCACCACTATCTTCATGCACCTTGTTCAGGTAGAAGACCTAGCTGACTTGCGTTTCAAAGCGTCCGCAACCACATTCGTTTTACTGAGGTGGTAAAGGATCTTGTCGTCATACTCATTGACTACATCAAGCCACCTGTGCTGCCTCATATTCAGGTTAGACTGATCCATGATGTGCCTCAAACTCTTGTGATCTGTGTATTTGGTACAACGGACCCTATATAGGTAATGCCTCCAAATCTTGAGAGCGAAAACCATAACTCCCAACTCCAGATCATGCATAGGGTATCTCGTCTCATGCAGCTTTAGTTGCCGTGATGCATAGGCTATCACTCATCCTCTCTACATGAGGATTGCCCCAAACCTATGATGGATGCATCACAGAATACTACAAAATCCTCAACTCCCTCAGGGAGTGTCAAAACTAGCACCTCGCATAAACACTTCCGAAGGGTCTTAAACGCCCTCTGCTGCTCAGGGCTCCACCAAAAGTCCACCCCTTCCTCATTAGACAAGTGAGGGGTACTGCAATCTTGGAGAAATCTCGAATGAATCCATGATAGTACCCTACTAAACCCAAGAAGCTCTTGATGTCTGAGGTAAATTTAGGAATCTCGCACTGCATAACCGCCTCAACTTTTGGCCGGATCAACCAAAATCCCCTCCTGGTTAATGAGGTACCCAACGAAATGGACCTCTCGCAACCAAAACTCACACTTCGAGAACTTGGCATAAAGTCGTTCTCGCCTCAAAATTCCCAATAGCTCTCTGAGGTGCTCTTCATGCTGCTCTCAGTTCTTGGAATACACCAAGATGTCGCCTATGAACACAATAATCGAGCGATCAAGCATCAGTTTGCAGACCCGATTAATCAGATCCATGAGCCCAAATGACATCACCACGAACTCATAATGACCATAACGAGTCTGAAACGCAGTCTTCTCCACGTCTTCGTCTCTCACCCTGACCTGGTGATATCTGGATTTCAAATCGATCTTGGAAAACCAAGATGCACCCTGCAACTGATCGAAAAAATCACCGATCCTTGGGAGTGGATAACAATTTTTCACCATTAACTTGTTCAACTACGTATAATTATAGCACATCCAGTGTGAACCGTCCTTCTTCCTGACAAAAAG